ATTGGTGATAAAATATTCTTTAAAAAAGTCCGTCAGTGAAATTTTTTAACTTTGTGAACGCAAACCTGTCAATAACTAGTAAATTATATTCCAATTACAAATCACTGCTGCTTTCGAGTTGAAAATCGATTCTAGCTTACGTTAATCAATGTTGATGATGAAGTAAAGTCTACTTTTGTTAAGTGCGCCAAACGGCTTGTGTTGGCATTAGTAGCAAATTTCAATTCCACCCCACACTATGATAATATTCAAACAAAAGCCGTATTATTTTTGTTATAAAGGTTCAATACGAACCTTGAATGGATTATTTAAATGTATCCTCAAGTCATAATAGCTGAGGTTTGTTTTCTGGTTGTAGAGTACATCAAATCCAAATAAAACATACTTCTGATGTATTTCGTTCGGTAGTCGACAGCTATCTCGAACGCCAACAGTTGTCAATGAAATACTTATTTGTAACCAGAAGTTCCACTGATCATATTACAATTACATGAAAACCTGATTTTTTTCTTAAGCACACTGATAAGCTAAGGATGGCAAAAAACAAATTCGACTATATGCTGGATTTTATGATAATCTTTATCTTTGGTGGTCAGTAATACTCCTCTCTGAACACTACCCTCGTGGAGGAGGACAATCACTTGAACCCCAAAGGTTATCATGGATGACATAACTTAAAAGCTACTTGTATATTGGGGCACATCAGCAACTTGAAGGTTACTTCAAAGAATATGACCGTATTTTTGATTATCCGCTTGGCGAAAGCTTACGTTTGGATCCCTGTGACCAACGGATGCACCATATAACTGATCAAGTTTTTCTATTGATAAAACCATCAGAGTAGGCCACGATACGAAGTGTTTAACGATCTCAAAATTCAGTATATTTGAGTCCAACCCTAAAACACTCATTAGTACCATTGTAGATGTATTCGATACAAATGTTTGTCATCAACGTTGATGATCTATGTCGTATAGAGGTGCTGTGGATTATTCGAAGACCGTACAACACTTAGTACATTATCACAGAAACACATTAGTTAGAGTAGATGCAAGCGACAATGAGACCACCACTGCACAGGCCAGTCCATGGCGTGAGATTAACTGATGACCATTGGTTGACCTTGATATTGACGGGAATCGGTGAACTGTTCGGTCTTCACTTATACAACTGCCGTATGATTTGGCTGTAGTTCAATGACATTTCAGTGGCTCTATACAGTGATCATTGTAGTTTACCAACGATGAATAGACAACAACTGATAATCACTAAAATTCTTCAGAAGACGGTCGTAATATACACAATCAAAGTAAAGCACTTATTAAAAGTACTTTCGAGAGTCCTGACGACTCTTTGACAAACCCCATTCGACTTCATAATTACACCATGTTCGTGGAACCAACAATGTGGTAGCAGGCGCCTCGTCATTGGTAAGTTTACAGAATTCTTTCCTAGAAATTGATCGTATGAAACTGGTTCAGTACTAAAAACTAGTCAGTTAAAAATCAAAAATTCTACCTTAATCTGACTATAAAAGGTAAGAATGACAATAATTTAGTTCATTCAATGGCGAAAGTTATCAAATGGTGCGTATCACCTGAACGTCTTTAATTCCTTCGAACAATCATTAAGCTCGCCGACCGATAATTTTGCTTGCTTGAAAACAATGGAGTGGGAAAGCTGTATAAATAGCGCAAACATTGAGATAACAAGACATACCGAATATCCTAAAGGATTTTCCATGCTAGTTATTCGTCGGATTCATAATCATAAATATAGTAATATCCCTACCGAAATCAAATAGATACTGTTATCTTTTTGCATGCTTTGGTCATTTCACATGACACGCTACGTGCGTATTACCACTAATACCCCAATGAGCTCTTCGGATGAATAACCCCGAACCGTAGTTTTGGAAAACAGCAGTATGCATGAATGGCTTCACTGACAGTAGGAAGTTTCCCTCCCACCGTCAAACACGTCTGGTAGACTAGAACTTAACTGATTTACAGCTCAGCAGCCCAATTTTCAGGCGTCACATTTTCCATGCTCAAAGTGGACCCTACTTCCTTGTGGGGTAGGTTGCAAGCTTTATGTTTTTCATTTAAACCAACCTGAACCTGATGAACTTATGTGTTTAGGCAACGAAATATAAGACATAGTGCTTACGTCTTTGTACCTGATATTGAATTGACGAAAAATACGAAAGATCAGCACCGGAGGCTGGAAGTATTGCATGTCTAAAACGTACACCATACTTCGTCTATTTCCACATGTTTCCGATAAACATCAAAATTATGTAAATATTCATGGGACTACGAATAGTAAACAACCGCTAGGGGGTAACGTAAATTTCTTGCAAAAAGTTCGAATCAATAACGCTCTGAGTAGTTACCGGTGTTATATCACACTCCGTTTTTGGTCGAAGTGAGATTTGGCAACTTCTAACGAATTTGATACATCCTGGTGAAGACAAGAGTCTGGGTAACTCCCAGGACCTATTATTGAACTATTATTCTAGATATATTTTTATTGTTTAACCATTGAGTAATTAGATTTTGTATATCTATATTAATCTTATTATGCGCTTCATTTTGACCTATGAATCATTATTATGCGATTTACTGTCCCTAAACTATATTCAGTTTGTTGATTATTGACTGCCACGTTCACAGCTACATTTGGCTTGATCTCGTACAAATATTATTTTCTATCTTATGGTGTTATGTGGTCTGTTTGTCTGTTATATTAACCGAGTATGCTTGAAATAAATGATTCACATAGCAGAAGCTGTAATCGGTGTTCTGGACTTATTTGGAAGCGCTAGGCGTACAAGGGACCGATAAGGACGCTAGGCTTCCTATGCCAGTTGAACGTCATTGATTTTGGCACAGTGCTAAGATTAGACAAGTCGCATTCCGACTGGTGGATGATCCACATGATAAAAAGCCTGAGATAAGGTCATAACGAATTGGCGTACGGCCTACTTTTATAAAGTCATAACAGAATTACCGGTGTGGCAGAAACTCTTATAGTTAAATTTTACTCGGGCATTGCAAAACACCAAAATATTGTAGTGGATCACATTGATAACAACTAATTTCATAACTGAAACACTCAATTTTCGAGTTTTCAGAGTTCAGATAGGAGACGACAAGTCAAAAAGAAAATGGAAATCAAAAGTTTAAGGTCAAAATTATAACAAACTCATGACATCAGTGAAGTATGACACAACCCACTAGGAGAATGATGACGATGATAATGACTATCTACAATAGGTTAAACAATTAGTTTTTCTGATAACACTTGCGACGTGTGCAATGAAAAAGCTCGAATAAAGCTCAGGACTTATGGGAAATTAGCCCCAATACAGTTGCTTGCATGTTTCCTTCTTATTTTGTAGACCTTGTACAATTATCGAATATAGTACCAGAAAGAATGAGATAGAAACTGTTTTTTATTATTCATCGCATGATTCCACTGTACAAATGAAAACAACCAAACTCTACCGGACATTGCTTACCTTCTGAAGGCTGCTTTGTGAGGGATGCTTGTTAGTTTTAAATTATTTTCTAACAAAGTCTCAAGGTTTGCAGCATCTTAATAGGGTAGTAATGGACTGTGTGGGGTAAAAACCCTGGAAAATATGTGATCTTATGGACATTAGACATTGATGTTGACTTTGTTAGTTTCACTGAAAATTACTCTGTAAGCATTGGTCAGTCATAATCAGACCAATAAATGGAACATGCTTACCCTCTTTTGAGAGCTAGTTAAGAATCATCACACATCATGCCACTACCGTAGATAAAAAATACTTTGTGTTATCAACACCATGTTCATCCCTTTTTACACCCCGGGTAAATTGTTGAAATATATTTGAGAACCATCAGTGATCGATCCTGTCATATTCGCAATACCTTTGAAGTGGTTTATTTGCTTCCCTAACAACGGCGGGAGTAATTGGTTGCGCTTTTCATCATTGACAAAAGAGCGGCTTCGTCGTTTATAATAACTGCATGTCTGTCCACCGTGTAACCCCCAGCTGCATTGAGTTTAATTACTCTTCTACCTTGTGTTTTACTACCATTCAAATGACTGGCTTCTGTTACTGTTGATAAAAATGAAAGGAACATATATGCAGTCCAAACTCAAGTACCAAAAATGAAATTAGAGATGTTAATCAAGAATTCAACGTCTACTGCAGACTCTGAAATATTGGTAACCAAATTAAAATCAGTGGAAATAACGTTTGTCGTCACTAGGATTTCATTGAGATCATTACCCTATTATTGATCAGTGAACATTTGAATCGACATCAACATTCTTAATCCTGTATTTGTTTTTGCAATGAAAGTGTGATAAAATTCACTAGTTTGTAATTTGTTGACGACCTTATATTATTACGTATTACATGCTTATGGAGAACAAACTGAAGTCCCCATTCCAATGTGCGTAAGAGATGGTAAATGAAAAACAAAGTTTTCCGACGATCATAGTAACATTATTTAGGTTCTTTAGCAGACTATGTAGAAAGAGCTACTGGTGCGCAGTTGCCTGTTAGAAGCCGTTCTAAAGTTAAAAAACAGTTGTCTTCACAGAACTTAATGTTGATATATTTTTTAGTTTCTTCTTTTATGATCTACGAGGTATTTCCATTTTATTTACAGAGCATTAAAAATTAAGGTTTCCGTTTACTATAATGACGACAACTCAGAGGCGCATGTTGAGGGTAGGGTGTGTATAATTTCCAGTTCCTCTATAGGAAATAGTAGATTATATTTTGACCAAAGTTCCATATCCGTTGTTGTATTGTTTTGTTACACTGAATTTCCTCTTGTGTTCTGGTTGTACATCCATTTTATTTGGTTGCTTTATTATCTTAGCCTCTGCTTTTTCAGATGATCAAATAATGTTAAGTTTCTCTCTTGCATGGTGTCTCAATCAGCTGAATCTGGACACAATTGATGTGACAACTCAGTTCTTGCAGTCTAACATCAATGTTACGTGATAATCACCAAACTCTGTCAGGCAATTCTCCCCCCTTAATTTCCATAGAGAACAGGTTAATTCTAATGCATGGGTGCTTTCCTTTAATATGAAGATGGCGAAATTTGCAATACAAGGGGAATACTGATCCCCGAATACGCATCTTTGGTTTTCCTTAGCCTTGATGAAACATCTGATGTTGTCTTCAGAATGAAGATGCCACAGGAATTTGGAGTTTGCCTTAACCAGTTTGCTTTAACCAGTAACACCTTCTACTATGAATCGTACCCACCTGGTGAAATTTAAGGTGAGAATCGAGGAAGTTTTGAAGATATATTTGATAGGCTATCAATATATCGTGAATCGACTGGTCTAGGCTGGCTATTGATTGCAAGGGATGTTGAGCACGGCGTTCCCGCTCGTGACCTGATGCGGATGCATGACCGAGTGCATTCAGCTAGGTGAGTTCATTAAAACTACTGTGGTCAGGATCCAATGTGAAAAACGCACATAGTTATTGATTTTAGGGATTCATTTACCGCCATAGGAATTAGTGACGATTCGGATTGATGCATGATTTGGTTTGAGCCTGGTGTTATTCCAATGAAACACGCAGTCCCATGACTTATGCCCTCTTAATTTTTTTATTGATACACAATATGATTTAATAAATTACAACGTCATGATCTCACAGAATATAGTTCCATTGTTTTCACTAGGATAAGTCAAACTTATTCATCTTCTCCAAAAAGCGGATTAGTAGTTATGTTGATGCAGAAATGGAGTTGTTTGCAATTACTTTTAAGTTGCAGAACACAGGAGCCCCACTTATTTATATTGTACATTGTATAGTCAAATCAGCACTATTTCAAAAATACTGGTACGCAGCTGGATTTCTTTACCTGTGCGTCCTTCTGTTCACGTTATCATTTAACTCTTATCTACTCTTTAGTAGTATTTTATTACCTTATAGACATGCAAAACCGAATTTAGTTTGATGATCACTGCGTTTAGCATCGTTCTTATAACCTGGCAGGGCACTAACGAATCTGTTAATTCACAGTTCCCGTGTTTAGGACGTCTTCTGTGTTTTTAGCGATATTCATTCTATTGAAAAGTAGCTACTGGTCACGCAAAATCCAGCATCAACCATGATGGTGGGCACTACATGGATTTCTGTAGTTTAGGGGGTGTGAATTCACATCAGAAATAAGTAAACTACATAGGATTTATAATTGTGATGCTAAGAACTTACTGCCAATCCCGCTTATTAATGTCCTTATCATGGCGCTGAGGAATGTTTTTTGGTTACTTAGGTCTTGTTGCTGCCTGTACTGGGTTTGTGCGACTTTCTTATTTGGTCGGAAGCATTAGATGACGTGACCCGAAATCAGTTGAATCGCGATATGTGTATCTTGGGTTTTGATATCTTCACTTTTTACACTTCGTCTCGTTCGTTCCACCCGAACTGCGTCACCGGTGGTTAGGTTCTCACTATTATTTATATTGCAGTATCATGTTACTTTGACTACTTTCATTGTCTTAACTTTGTGATTGTATGATTTCAAAATCAATACCTATGCACTCTTCCGGAAACCAATTATCTGTTTAGGCTTTTAATCTAGGTGGTTATCGATTAAGCTCCAGTAGTCGTGTAGTGAAAATAAAAATCCAAGATAGATGCTTTACTTTTCTTATTCGATCGTCAGAGCGTCCTCTTGTTCCTGAGTTACTTGGTGAGTGGAGGTATAATCATCCTGAGACCCTCTCAAGATCTTACTATTGTAAAGTGTCTATTATAGTTTAGTTGGTTTATTGGTATATAGACCCTGTTTTTTATATTTCATGACATTGATATAGATTTTAATGTGTAGACCGCTTCTGAAAACTGATCTAGAACGTTATTTTTGATAATATGGACTTGTCAGTGTACATCAATTTAAGCTCGCCGGAAGTCGGATCACTAAAGTGAAGAAAATATTTTTAAATTCCATATATTTATGATCGAGTTAAGTTCAATTCGCAAACACCTTGACCACAAATATGCCGTTTTTGTAAGTGGTAGGGATATAAATTCCACCATCAAATATCTCGTCTAGATATAATAAAAATTTTTAGGATTAATTCTGCTTCTAACTTAATCCAAAAACTGTCAAATAATTAATGATTAATACTGAAAATAATTGCTTAAAATGGTTAATTTTAATAGCGTTATAGGTTTTGGATAAATATTTCTTCGATAAAACAAAAATAAGTCTAAATAGGTTCAATATTTAAAAAAGATGTGTTGAATATAGGTTATCGACTTTGAAAATTGTTGGTGCGTGTAGAGTTCTGTGCCATATCACAAAATATCTTCGAGCATTAGTTTTTGTTGTGGAAGTTTAGTTTCGATTCATCAGAACTATAAATTTCTCACTTACTCACTCTTACTGTTTATTCATTTAGACACTCTTAGTTTGTCTTCGGTTCGCTCTACTGTTCAGGCTGTACTGCTGACAAACTTAAACTTGAATTCCATTGGTTAGCACTACTTTAATTTTACTTTATATTTGTACATTTGCTGTAAAAGCTCACTTGTGGATAAAAGTTGTTTCTATTACACGGTTTGATGAGTAAAAAAGTTAGGTTTTATAGACCTTACTTAAATTCACACTATACTGTCGGCTAGATGCTCTCACAGGTGACAGGTGGTATTTCGGTCAATGTGATTTTATCTTTTTTGCCATCAATAATGTGTGCTGTGTGGATTATTAAAGAGCTATCCTTGACTACATGGTGAAAAACCAGGCTAGTTTTCGACCTGGAATTGGTTGTATAGACCATATATTCACTCTACGTCAGGTACTAGAACATAGACACGCGTTAAGACGCTTCACAATCGTAGTATTTCTCGACCTTAAGGCGGCATTTAACTCCATTGATCGTGATGGTCTGTGGCAGTGTTTGTCACTGGAAGGAGTACCAAAATTGTACATTAACCATATAAAGGCTCTCTACTTGAACACAACTAGTAGAGTTAGAGCTTATAATGAACTGTCATCAGAATTGATTACCCCAGATGGTGTTAGTCTGGGATGTCCACTCTCCCCATTCTTGTTTAACTTTATCGTAGACGTGCTATTAGAAATCCAAATTTAAAGGGGTTGAACTTCTACCAGGAGACTCACTTGTTGACTCCAAATATGCTAATGAAATTTCTATTTGGTGAAGACGCTGACAAAATGCAGTCTTCTGACCACTATAAGCAACAACTCAGGCATGTTCGGGATGCAATTTCCTCCCACGAAATGCAAAATGTTACTTCAAGATTGGGTTGCATCGGCACCTGAACTAATGATAGGGAGTGAAGTAGTTGAGCGTGTTGACCGCTTCACTTATCTTGGGAGTCTCATCAGCCCTCGTGATCTGGTGTGTGAAGAAATCTCATCACGGATACAGAAGGCTCGTCTAGCTTTTGCTAACTTGCGTCATTTATGGCGTAAGCGAGATATCCGTCTACAAACCAAAGGACGGGTTTACTGTGCGGCAGCCCGTTCCGTCCTACGTTATGGTTGTGAAACATGGCCGGTAAGAGTAGCGGATATTCGTAGGCTACTAGTATTCGATCATATGTGTCTTCGAAGTATTGCTCGTATATCTTGGGACCACCGGGTAAGTAATGCAGTTGTTAGGAAACGGGTACTAGGTAAGGATGGCAGATAGATTGATGAAGTAGTGAAACTCAACCAGTTGAGATGGCTGGGAAACGTGTTACGTATGCCCAACCACCGACGTGCAATGTTTTATGTTGTAGGAGTAGGTTGGAAGAAAGCTAGGGGTGGCCAGACCAAAACTTGGCACAAATCCATGAAGTCACTGAAAAGTAGACTGAGCCATGTTGGTAGGTGTAGACTGCCTGGTTGGGATTCGCGAGATGATAGCAACCGATGATTAGGGACTTTGAATGACATGGCTCGACATAGTTTGCATTGACGTAGGTGTATTCTTTGTGTTCTCCCAAAATTCTAATCTGAATTCTCCATGTCCCTTTCTTTTTCTTCTTTTCAAATTTATTTCACTGGATTATACTCCTTCGATAACATCTTCAAACCCCAATCTTTCGGATTACTGCTTATACTTCTACTACTCCTAGCGCTATGGGATTTGAATCGACAACTTTATCTGTGTTAATGTGGTATGGCAACTCGAACTGATGTACGTTTATTTATTTATTTATACACATAAATATTGGTACAAGCAGGTACCAGATACATATGCGCCACACAAATCAAATGAGATTTGCGTGAGGTCTGTGATACTGCTCAGGTGCCCAAACTGAAGCAGGTGGTTTTCTTAGGGGGCCACACCTGGAGCCTTCGACCTAAGGGTTTGATCCACAAGGCAGTGGAGCATCGTGAGGCGATGCAGTCCCATGGTAGCCGGCGACCAACAATTGGTTCATACGCCATTTGTTCCCTCAGGATCTTGGGGTCCATGTGCACCATTGGTTTGGAATCAGGGTTTTCCAACTCCCCTAGTTGGGCTCGCCGTGTCCACCAACCTCGTTGAAGCGCCGGACATTCGCTTTTCGTCCTCTCAATTTCGTAAACAACAGTAATGTCGCGAGAAGGTAGTGAGTAGAACTTCCCTCGCAGAGGCTATATTACGCATAACCATGTGAGGGTATTTCGAGAGGGAGGGCGGACTCTCCCCACTCTTGGCCATACCAGGGCATTTGGGGGCACTGATGTACGTACGTATGAAGTCCGATGCTGTGACTGACTAACTTTTATGAGAGAAGCAACTTGAGGTTATTCGTAACCGTAGTAAAACTATAATTTTACACACTTTAATCGTATAGGTTAATTCATCTCTAGTAATGACTACTGACTTTGCAAAATGCAATCCTGACAATGTCGACTCATCAAATGATTTTCCTCCGGAAATGGATAACGAAGTTTTAGAAGCAGATCTTGAGGAAAAACAGCGCCTAATAAGTCAGGTAAGCTTTTGTTTATTTTTATTTATTTATGTATTTATTTGAACATAAATATTAGCACAAAGGGGCACCGAATACATATGCTCCACACAAGTCACTTGGTTTGTGTGTGGAGTGTGATGTTGCCCGAGTGCCCGGGCCGAAGCAGGTGGTTTTCCTAGGGGGCCACACCCGGAGCCTTCGACCTAAGGGTCTGATCCACAAGGCAGTGGAACAACGTCAGAAGATGCAGTCCGATGGTAGCCGGTGACTAGCAATTGGTTCATACGCCATTTGTTCCCTCAGGATCTTGGGGTCCATGTGCACCATTGGTTTGGAATCAGGGTTTTCCAACTCCCCTAGTTGGGCTCGCCGTGTCCACCAACCTCGTTGAAGCGCCGGACATTCGCTTTTCGTCCTCTCAATTTCGTAAACAACAGTAATGTCGCGAGAAGGTAGTGAGTAGGACTTCCCTGGCAGTGGCTGTATGCGCGTGGCCATGTGAGAGCATTTTGAGAGGGAGAGCTGACTCTCCCCACACTCAGCTTTACCAGGGCATTCGGGGTGGGCGATCACATAGAGACTGTAATTACTGAAAATAAGTATTTTCGGACGAAATTTTCATGACGAAAGTTCAAGAGACACTTTCAACCTCTCTTTTCTTTGCGAAGAGCCAGGATCTCTGGAGGCGCTGGTTATCCGTAGGAAATATCCTGCTCCCATCATACATCAGTGCAATCAACTCTCATACCTGCTCTGTGTTTTACAGTCTACCGTCCGATCCACTTGTCATTGTAGGATATTAGAGAACAGGTATTTCGACCAATATAGCTCGGTTGAATTGTTGCGTTAAGCATGCCCAATCACTATACCAAGCCAGCATCTATTATTTTATGGATGTAAAAATACAGTCTAGTTGTTTAACAAAACGAATGACACTAGGATACAACGTTTTCAGTGTTTTGCGTTTTTAGAGTTGTTGTTGCATCTCATATTGTGAATCCCGATTCAGTATCTAAATGGTTACTTGCTCAACTCAAAACTAAGGGCTCCTGAACTCGACTGTGCGTGAAGTCATGGCTGCACGCATTAGGTTCACATTTTAAATTTTTCAAATCTTCATAACTAATATTGATTTTATTTGTTTTATGCTTTTTTGTCATTTTGTTCTGAATAAATGTAGATTTTGGAGCTACAACATACACTTGAGGATTTATCCACACGGGTAGATGCTGTGAAAGAAGAAAATTTAAAATTACGTTCTGAAAATCAAATTCTTGGTCAATATATTGAAAATATGATGGCGAATTCATCAGTTTTTCAATCAACATCACCGCGTATTGATGAAAATAGGTCACGTTCAAATAAAAGAGTTGGAAGATGATTATAAGAGAATGATATATATATATCACATACAATAAGGTTGACTAGAAATGCTGAAGTTAAAGATAGGGATAATTAAACTTTTCATACTTCATTCCCCTTGATTTCTTAGGACCTAATTTCAGAGTTTTGAGATCACGACAGTGACAATAATATTTGCGGTGTTGGATTTCAGCTATTTTCCCATCTTGGAATATTTATCTTCGTAACTCTTTAAGCTGATCATCTTTGTTGTCTTTCTACTGCGCTTACAATAAACAAAGCACTTGCAATAAAATCAACGATAATATTAGTTATGTTTAAATGAATGATGGCTTTTCTGTTGTTTTTAACTTCTTATTTTATGATCATGTGATCTTCATTTTATTATATTGATACGCTTTTAGTTTTATCTGTACCTGAAGAAATTACATATGCATTTATATGTTAGCAAGTAAAGTGTCAATTATGTCTGCTTTTTTTTCATGTAAACAATATTGTAATAATTTAGCCAAACGTATCTTATCACCAATAAGTAGGTTTTGCAGTAAATCTAATTGATTGGCTATTCAGGAGAATTTCTAGGCGGCGGAACATTTTTTGGAACTTCTGGTATATGTCTTAAGTTTTTGTTAGCGTTTTAATGTGATGTGTCCAGTTTAAGCTAACCGTTGGTCAACAAGCAATCGGGTTAAGACGCACTACTTGTTAAATAGTTGCTTAATATTAGAATCGACGATATCATTTGGTATTTTCTTATTCAGTTTAGGAGAATATGATAAAAATTAAATAGCTATTCAGTAGGTTTTTATATACTATTTTATAAAATCAGTTTCTTCGGGTACATATTATGATGAATTCCAAATATTTTATGAAACTTCGAGATTTGGGTAAACTTGGAAAAAATAGTCTAATATTAAGATCCCCAGTGCTTTAGTGTAAAGCTGTTATCGAGTTTCTGATACATGTAAGACTAAGTGACAATGATATGCACCTAAGGAGGTGAAAGTCCTCAACGGAATTCAACTCTTGAAACTCTACAAATCACCAGGTCCAAATGACTTACCCCCGGTCCTTTTTAAGATAGTGATGACTTTCTGGTTATGGGACTGACAGTTGTTTACAAAGATCTAGCAATTAGAGTGTTCCAAAATCATGGAATGAGTAGATAGTTGTCCCTATCTTTAAAAAGGGTTCACGTCATTTCTTCAATAACTATTGGGGGATAAGTCCACTATGCGTTGTGTCCAATCTATTGACTTCCGCCATGCTTCGCAGATTGTTCAAAACCTGAGAAAGATTGACTCGAGAGGAGCAGGCTGGTTTTCGCTCTGGTCAAGGATGTATTGATCATATCTTCACCCTCCGCCAAATGTTAGAACAGTCATGCTTATCACAAACCAACAATTGTAGTGTTTCTTGACATCAAGGCTGCCTTCGATTCGTTGGACAGGACTGTTTTCTGGGATTGTCTATCGAGGAATGGTGTGCTTGAGAAGTTTATTAACATCTTGAAAGCCTTATATACAAACACCTCAGGCAGAGTGAGGGCATAGAACCACCTCTCTTCATTGTTCCATTCAACCAGTGGGGTTAGACATGGTTGCCGAATCTCATCATTCCTCTTCAAGTTTGCTATCGATGACGTTCTGGAAGCACCTTTGATGGATGTAGGGAATGGTGGTGTGAATCTTTTGCAGATGATATTGATCTATGCAATCTGCACTTAATGAGTCGGCAATTAGTGTCCGTAGGTATGGTACATGTTTTGTACTTTCAAAGTGCAAGGTACTTTTACAAAAGTACTTGCAGTCACCCTGGGTAGTGAGTGGATAGAAATAGTCGGGAAATTCGTGTGTCTGGGTAGCTGCGTAAGTGCTGGTGGTGGCGTGAATAATGCGATCAACGTATAGTGAAAGCCAAAGCGGCTTATGCCAATATGGACCATCTTTGACACATTCGTAATGTTAGTCTGGCTGTCAAAGGTAGGATCTATAACGCGTCGGTGAGAGCAGTTTCGTCATATGCTTGTGAAACCTGGCCTCGCCGAGCTGAGGATGTTGAACGATCCTGTGTTTGATCATCGTTGTCTCCGAATGATTGCTGACATCCAATGGCAACATAATGTTAGTAATTCGGAGGTTCGGGCACATCGATGATAATTCAATTAGTGTCACTATCCCCAAACATCGAATTTGTTTGTTTGGACATGTCCTACGGATGTCATCTTAGGCAATTCCACGTCGTGCATTATTTGCCGACTTTGGGATTGGTTGGAAAAAGCGGAGAGGTGGTCAGTGTACGACAGTCTTTGTGTGAAAGAAAGCTGTACAGCACTGGCTTCTGTTGGTACTTTACAACTCCCTGGTTGGGGTTCCTAGAGATGGTGAAACACAGCGGCTTGAGACGTTATCATACGTCGCTCAGAATAGAAACCAGTGGTGATCCTGCTGTAACATCCCTTTACTTTCTTCGTAAAGATGGACGTAACCTCTTTAACTGAAAGGATTCTTTCTGGTTGTAGTTTACCTAACTGAACTGTTTATCCCACTATAATTATAATAGTAATTATTATTATTAGTAGTATTAGTATCATTATACTCTCATACACTAATTTCTGTTCGTTGTTCTTTTTACTATACACACCTCACATTCTCTATCTCTTCACAACCTTTTTTTTATTGTATGGCGCATATGTATTTGGTGCCCCTTTGTAAAAAATGTTTATGTGTTAAAATAAATAAATTGATATTGGTTGGAAAAATCTTTGTAAACCAAACTTCTTGGATTTTAGGACTTAATAGGATACTCATTCGACACCTTTGGGACTTAATTGACACAACGTAACAGAAATTGCCACTGAGCTATTTGTAGGGCAGGTAACCACTTAAAGAACTGAATTAATCAGAGCGTCTATTTATGATTTAGCAACCGGTCCCGAAGACTAACAAATCCTATGTTTGAGAGTTTCTTGTTTGTATCAAAATGAGGTGTATGATATTAGTCTAGTAGTATTGTTGAAATCTCATTCTTTTGAGCTGCATTATTCAGTTTTGTAGCTTTTATTGTCCTTCTAGATAACATAAATGCCAAATAGAAGTGAGCTATGAGAATTTCTGCATAAGTCACCTGCAACTTGTTCTATCGACCTTAGAATCGACTAGTTATTACTAACACTTGTAGTTGCCCTAATACATTTATTGTGATTTTCTTCCCCGTTGACATTATGATTGTCTATAATTTTCCTAACTAGTTGATAATCTTGACATATTACAGTATGCTTATTCATTGCTGACTAACCTGCTTTTTATGCTTCCAGTAATTCTCTGGTTTTCTTTTTGTTGTCTCTTTTTAAGATTTTAATGTTTCCTCAGTAGAAAGTGTGTTCACAGATCCCTATATGTACTGATATAAGTGAAGATATAGTGTGATATTTGACAGCTAATTGATTGTTCATATAGACGAAGAGGGAGAGATTCCCGTAGCTCACTTCTATTTATGATCTTTACTGAAGATGTCTAGAAAGATAATTAAAGCTTTATGTTTGAGCAAACTAGTTTCGAGAAAACAATTCCAACAAAGTCCTTTTAACCTAGTGGTCTTATTACATTACTTATAATTCGACAAGATGATATTGGTTATTCTCTAGAGATCAACTTAACTGAAGCAACACTAGCATTGTCAATATTTTCATTTGGGTTCATAGTAGATAGAAAACTTGAATACAGTTGCATAAAGTATACAAATATTTCCCTTTAGTTAAAGAAAATAAGTAGAATTCGTATCAAATTGATCAAAAGAAAAACAGGATAAAATTAAGGTTTCGGTTTCAGAAAAGGTAAGACTTGGAAGATTATACGTTCAAATTGAGACAAAAAGAAAACCATCCACCCTTGTAATTTTCAATGTTCATGAGTGCTCTACGTCAAAGAAAACTTAATGTAATTGAAGGACTTAATGCTTTTTATTTATCTATTAATTTCTCTCTTTACTTTTCGACTTGAGCTGATATAGACTTATATACCGGTTAAGTTCTGTTGATAATTACGTGGGATAACCACCAAAGATGAAAGGTTACCGTGATTTGTGTTGTTCAACCACATCTTGCCTCAATAGGCGATGCTGTCGGTTGTAGGAGTGGGCTGGAAGACAGTCGGTCAAGCCAATACATGTCATTAGTCCATGAAGTCATTGACTGTTGAACTAAACCCTATAGGTAGGTTCATACTACCTGGTTGGGGTCCGTACAGTTATCATAGTCAGTGGCTAGAGACAGGCGCCAGGGCTCACATTCGATAACTATCACGTAGATTCATATGTTCTATGTTTTTTTAGATCCTGAAAGTATTGTAAATTTTGATTGTAAAATGTTGATATCTGTTAGCTTGAAAATTCCACTGGTTTTAAACTACTTGCAAATAGTAAGTAGTACTTGCCAGCAATACTTCAATTTGAAATGTTTGTTAATCGAATTCAAAATTTTTTCAACTCTGTTGCAAGGTAAGTTTAGTTAGAACGAATCAACGTTTTGATCACTGGAAAAAAAATGTTACTGGATAATTACTTGTTATTCGATTAATGAAAAAAACACATTTAGTCACGTTTACCATGCTTAACATACTTGTACACATGATCGTTTGTTTTTTTTCAACATGGTTAGAAGAAGTAAACTTGCAAAGGTTTGTGATATCAGATTCATTGCCTATATATTAATAAGTCAGTTGGTTTGTTAAGTGAGTTGATAGGAATCGGATACAATCAAGAGTGTAATTGATAGGGTCATTGCCTTATTTACACTTTATTCATAGGGATTTTTACTTTTCCGTTGCCAATATTATGGACTGTAATTGATCAATCTCCTATTGGTATATGTGCATCCTGAATGGAATTCGTCGATATTGACATATAGCTATGTTTTTGTTGGAGTTAAATAATAGCTAGTGGTGGATTTTAGGATTCGCTTTTCATCCTATTTATAACTCGTTTGCTGGATGTTCTTATATCCCAGTGTTGGTGCACATT